AAACCAAGGAGATGGTCGAGATCCACGTCGGGTCAGAGGCCGCAAAGGCACGACTCGGTCCAATGCTGCGGCGGCAGTTGTCTCCCAGGCCGCCGCCTGATTTTCCGCCGAGTCGTGGACTAGATCCTCCGGATATGGCCCAAGCTCCATCAGGAACCTCTCAGGGTCCATCAGTCGCCTGGGACGGAACCATCTAGGCCCAAGCTCCATCAGGAACCTCTCAGGGTCCATCAGTCGCCTGGGACGGAACCATCTATTCCAATTGTTAAACGGAATTCTTCTGAATAGTGTTTGAGTCTGGAACAGAATTTCAGAACATCCATATTTAAAACATTTTATCAATAATTAAAAATGATCTGTTTTGCACTCAGAAGCCCAGCTTTGAACTTAAGAATTAATGAAATTTCACATTTAGGAGTAAGATGTTCTATGCACTCAGTTTTTTAACTCTACTGTTTCCTCTGGATGATACATCTTTTGGGTGTTATTCTTTATTTTATGTCCAGAGATGTTAAGCTACTTATAGTTGTTATAATTGGTCAACCTGGAAATTTGCTTAATAAATCCTAGAAAGTACTACTTAAAATGTGGTAATGGCCATTGGCTGCCAGTAGAAACAGTGGGATGTATTTGTTTTACTTATAAATTGCTTGTAAGTAAATAACCTGTTTGAAATGCACTTACTTGATCCATCAGGGATCTTTTTAGGCTCTCCAGTCGTACTATGCTTTTCCTTTCCACCACCCGAACACTACCAAAGCACAGTCCAATTAAAAGGATAATTCTCTATTATAATCTCAAGAAGACCGATATTTACCACTCATGAACATGTTTAGAAACTTTTTTCAGTGATCAGAATAGTACAGATCTGATCTAAGTGAGGAAAACGTCAGCTACCTTTCTCAGTCTGAGCAACGCATACAGTATATAGCCTCAGCCTCACTGGCTTTTCTCTTTCCTCTTGCAGAGATGAAAGGTGAGCCTCTGATCCCCTGCACTCACCTTCATCACTGGAAGACTTATCTGATTGCTCATCCGCAGGACATTTTCAGTGTAATCAGTCAAAGTCATATGTGAGTCACCTCCAGTTGTAGCCAAGAATCTTAAAATAATTTCAGTGACCGAAAATGCATCACAGATGTCAGTGTACGACACCAAGTCCCCTCTGATCATGCCCATTTTAGAACTTGAAAGAGAGCTCTGTAATAGAAGGAGATAAGATCAACTGGTATTTTATTCCTGAAACATTTTTCTATAAAAAAGGCATGCCATCTGACACCTCTTCAGGGCATGCAAACAATGTAAAACTTCACACATATTCAAGCAAGCTGCTGATTTCACCATTGCTCAACCTCCATACCAAGTTTTTTCTACTAAGTAATAAGTAAGACTCCCAAGATAAATAAAATAGATAAAATTACTTCAACTGAACAGTAAATTTGCTGGAGACTTTAGCTAAGTTCCCTCTTTGGCCACCAGGGTGCACTGTCTGCATGGGTAAAGACTTCAGGGAAGTTCCCTCTTTGACCAACAGGGCACACTGTCTGCGTGGGTAAAGGCTTCAGGGAAGTTCCCTCTTTGACCACTAGGGTGCACTGTCTGGGTAAGGACTTCAGTGAAGTTCCCTCTTTGGCCACCAGGGTGCACTGTGTGGGTAAAGACTTCAGTGAAGTTCCCTCTTTGGCCACCAGGGTGCACTGTCTGGGTGGGTAGAGACTTCAGCGAAGTTCCCTCTTTGGCCACCAGGGTGCACTGTGACTAGTCTGGCCTGTGCTGTTAACACAAGCTTGAATCATTTGTTTCTTTCTCTACTGGCATCTCAAGGGGAGGGGTCTCTTTCACCCAGCAAGAGCCAGTTGTCATAGCAATTAATTGCCCTATTTACGACCCGGCTGATAAGCGATGCCTCCACGAGGGGTATTCCTTTGTTAACTTGTCTGTTAAGTCATTTCTGAATAATTTCTCAAGTCAAACTCAAACAGAATTCTTTCTTACTTTCATCAAGGAGATTTTGGTTGGGAAGGTAAATTATCTCTATTTACTTTGAGCTTAATTACTTCCTTTCTGTTGGAAAGGCATTCCTTCAACACACACACATCTCTTCACTCCCCAGCAACACATTCCTGGCATTCTAATCACAACAGTTTGCATGCGAAAGAAAGGGGGGGTAAGAGGCTTGCTTCAGTTTAAAATCTCTCTTTTCACCTTTGCGTAAAGGCACAGCTTTAATTGTTTTCCTGAGGCATGGAGATCTATTTTTAGTCCTTACTTCAGCCAAGCAGATGTATGGATGCATTATATGCAGGAGTTCTGGGAATGTTGCTAGGAAGCAGCCAGTTAAAGATACAGCTTTAGTTTTTTGCCAAGCATGGAGAGTAATAATATCTCCTTTTTTACTTTTGCCAAGCAGATGCATAGAGTTGAATTATTCCTTTTTTACTTTTCTGGAACCATGAACTGAGATGCATTATAGTTCTGATCCAGATAGCATAAACTCCACGAAATGTTTTTAAAAAAATATTTATTGTCCAGGAATTCTAAGCAGAGACTTACTTTGCAGTAGATACATCCGGTCATTTGCATATCTGTCCATTCTTGTAGGTAAAAAAGGAATAATTTCCCATCTCAGCTAGGAATGGTTACGGATGCCAATCGATGTGTACATGATGCTTGATTAAAGCAAAGGCTTTACAACCCTGGTACATAGCCAGGACATCCTGTCATAAACCTTGAAGCCCCTCCCACTGACTAGGTAAGATATAGGACTGACTAACAACTAGACTACATTCCCTAGAAGCCATCTCTTAAGGAGACAGCGTTTAACCCTTTAAATGCTAAATGCTCTAACACAGTTCTTAAGCTAATATATGCTCTGGCCAGAGTTATACTGGTCCAGCACAGTAAACATACACCTTCCTATAAGCAATGCATATTGAACACCCCATGGTTTACAATCAAGTAAATAAGCACAAAATGGAATGACAGTGAGATTTGCTTGTCTTTTTCTCTTTTCAAAAACTCACCTGAGTTTTCAGCTTTGTCTTGATATTGCTGAACAGATGCTCATAGTTTTGGTCACATCTGTGTATCAGTGTGGGTATGCCCTATTAAGAAAGGAAGCAAAGCAAATGCTTGGTCAACAGTTCTTTGTAAGAGTCTCTTCTGGACTAGCAGTTTGGATCTCACAGGCTCCGGAACACTAACTAGTTGCCTCACATTTCTATGGTGCATCCTGACAGTCCCCATATGTCCTTTATTAAAAAGGACAGTCTTTTATTTCAGACAGCTTTATGTATTTGTTTTCTTGGTTTTGCTCTTGAATTTTCTTCTGTAAAGCAAAATTATAAACATATACAATTATCTTTTTTTAATCCTGATGTTCCTCTTTCAGATTTGCCCCCTTTCAGGTTTGTCCTTTATTTTTTCCCCCAAGAAAATATGATCACAGTGCACATACCTGCAATGTGATCCTGGGCTTCCCTTGTAGGAATCTACTGACAACTTGCTGTTCGATTTTTTCCAGGTCAAATTCCTGCAGGGCCTCTCCTCCTTTCTGCACGCTATACTGGCAGTTGGACAGGATGACTGGGATCAAATCCTTTTCTACTTCGTAACTGATCATGTGCAGATCGGCCACTTCAGCAAGGCTGACAGAGTATCTGTTGAGAAGTAAGAAGGGAAAAGAAGAGATAACCAACTATGTTGTTTACTCAGCAGTATCTGTCAGCTGCAGGGAGAACAGAGAACTGCATACCTATTGGCATTCGTTGAATCGTTTGCTATGGTGTTGACGAAATCATTGTGCAACTGAATGAGGTAGCTGACCAATGATGTGGCACAAAGGCCTAGACCTCTCCGACGAGGCAAAAGGATTTCAAATGGATCTTTCACAGTGCGGTCCAAACTGCAATAATCTTTAGGAAGCTTAATTTGACCTGCAGGGGAGAAGGAAACCAGAAAACTTTGGAAGCCAGAGACGCCATTTTACTGTTGAATACTCCCCTTTGTTTTTGAATCACTTCTGGCTTATATAATGATTTATTGCCATCACATGTACCCCTCCCCCAGATATTGCTGATGTACAATTCCTTCAGCCCCCCCACCCCCACCCCTAACTGCACGGCCAATGATCAAGGATGCATGAGGTCATCAAATTTTAGAGAGCTACAGCTTCGGCTTTATGGGCTACTGTCTGTAGGCCAGTTGAAGATAATAAAACATGGCCTTTTTTTCTTTTGGTAGCATCAAGGAATCCCTTATTGTTCCCATTTGATCTGACTGATAAAGTAAGCTCGAGTCTCACCATTTGTTTCTATGGATAATCTTAGCTTGTTCCACACATCCAGAAATTTTTCCACTCTGCCTTTCATTAGTAATTTGACACCTCCTAGAGAATGCAAGAAGCAGAGTAAAAACAGATGGGATATTGCCAAAATGTGTTGCTTTCTGATTTTAAAAAATGAGATAATAAAAAGAACTCTGCTGCAGCAGGCTAAGATCTATCCAGCACAAGATACCACACCATTTTCTCATGGCTGTCAGTCACACTTATTATTTCATCCCTGACAACCCCAATGGCCCTAGTAGCTCTGGGGCATTTAACTCAAAGGTTTAATTTAGCTAGTATATACTTCAGAAAGAGATCTATAATCTGGGAAGATGCCTAACCACCCCAAAAGGATGACGTGAAATCCATTAAGTCTTTATCCTTAGGCATGATCTACTGGTAGCTCTCAATTTATGATCACAATTGGGACCAGAATCTTGGTTGCTGAACAAAGTGGTCATTAAACAAGACACCCACATGACCCCTTCGCTCAATGACTGCAATCCCAGCTCTCCCAGTTGCGGCCATTAAGCAACTGTGCAAGTTGTTAAGCGGACAGAGTGCTAGACCTGCCTGCTGAAGGAGGGCCAGCAATTTCCCTCCATGAGTGGAAGGGAACTCTTGTAGTAACTTGCAGAAACAAAGCTTGGATCTTCAAGATCCAACCTTCATTTATACAGGCTGCCACAGGATTCTTTCTACCACCACCTCTGTGCAGAAAGGAACCTCTGTGGTGGACCGCAGAAACGAAGCCTGGATCCTGAAGGTCAAGCTTCATTTCTGCAGTCTGCTGGAGGAATTCATCTTCCCTCCATTTGCAGAAGATAAGTGCTCTGGTTGGCTGCAGGAACAGAACTAGAATCTTTGGGATCTGAGTTTATTTTTCTATCCCACTGGAGTTTGGGTTGCCTCTATGTGCAAAGGGGAATTCATCTGAGGGGCTGCAGAAATGGGGCTCAGATCTTCAATGTATAACCTCTGTTTTGGTAGCTCTTTGGAAGAGTTACCCTCCCTTCTATGCACATAGGAGAACTTCTTCAAGGAGGTACAAAAACAGACCTCTTGAGATCTGACCTCTGTTTCTGCAGCCCTTCAGAAGACTTCCCCTCCCTTCCATGCAGGGAAGAGAACTCCTCCAAAGAGCTGCAGAAGTGGAGGTCAAAACCTTCAGGATCTGTGCTCCAGTTTTTTAGCCCAACAAAGGAGTTCCCCTCCTCTCTCAGCAGGCAGCCCTTTTTGCTCTCATTAAATAACTAATCCTAAGTGGAGGACTGCTAAATGGAGAGGAGGGATTTATGGTTCCCACATTGAATGAGAATTTTCAAAATTCTAGCTTTGTTTGATCTAGGTTGCATCAGTCCTGATGATGTACTATCACAGAACAAGGAAATGAAGAAAAGGCAAATTTAAATGATTTGTGCCAGTAATCAAGTTGATAAAAAAAAAAAGCATGGGGCATCATTGGCCCCAAAGCCGGACTGTTTCCTTCCTAAATCCTCAGAAGGCCAGTGGGGATCAACAGGGAGGCTTCTGGCAGGGGAAGCCCTTTTTGTGAACTCAGCTCCTGGATGCCCTCAAGAGCTGCCTTCCATACAGAAGGAAGAAGGGATTGCTTACATCTGTATCAAAGCATCCCTTTCCTGCACACAGGAGGAAGCTCAGAGCAACTGTGATCGATCCCATTTTCCTCTCCTTTCCTTTCCTTACCGAGGTTTGCAACGCTTGCTAAGCACAGACTTTGCACAGATTAATACTCTCCAATCAGCTAAACACCTTTATTTACTAAATATGCTTGGTATTAAGTAAATACTTTAATGCTCTTAAACTTTGCTGTCTAACCAGAGAGCACGGGAGAATCTCACCTGAGGAAAAACTGCTGAGAAAATCTTCAATTGTGCGATGCTCAATTTCTGAGATGTTCTGAAATCTCTTCACCAAGTCTTTCTGCAGAGCAAGAATTTCTGGCAGAAATTTCACCTGCCTCAATTCAGCTTCCTAAAGGCAGAAAAGGTCAAATCAGAAAGTAGAAGCCAAGTCTTTAGGAATTAATACAAGTTAACTATCAAGAAAGAATACCATACATACTTTATACATTTAGTTTGTATAAGTTTAATTTATGAACACACACATATGCATACATAAAATCTGGTTTTCTCAAAGGTGGGACAGCATTGGGGGCATGTGCTCCTGGTTTTGCACGTAGATAAGTTTAACAGATCAACTATAAATCAACATTAATAGATATTCACTTTCTGTTCTGAAAAATCCTGAAATTTGTCCATGAAGCTGGGAAAGTAATATTGTTGACAATTTAGAAAGGTGTGTGATAATAAGTAGCTGCTGCATCATCAACAAATGTAGTATTTCAGACAGGAACTTGTTCCCTCTTATGCTTCATTAACACAAATACTGATTGTTCCTCTTTCTATCCTTGTTCTACCTTTGGGAAAGCAATCAACTGGCAACCCAGTCCTCAACACTTGCTTTCAGATTGTAAATTCTTTTTAGCCAGAAGATGCACATTGCCCTTTAATGTTGCTGAGAACAAGTGAATTTAAAAACCTTCTGAACATAGAACAACAGAGTTGGAAAGAAATTTAGAGGTCCTCTAGACCAACCTCCTGTTCAAGCAACTCTGCATGGGGTTGGACACCATTTAGATGGGCACTGGAGAATGTGCAATGTTTGTGAATAAATCTCTTGAGCTAAAGTTAGTTTTACATTGATTCAACCTTGTTGTTGTTATTAATTGCAAAGTCATGTCCGGCCCATCACGACCCCATGGACAACGTTCCTCCAGGTCTTCCTGTCCTCTACCATCTTCTGGAATCCATTTAAGTTCATGCCTACTGCTTCAGTGACTCCATCCAGCCACCTCATTCTCTGTCGTCCCCGTCTTCTGTTGCCCTCAATCTTTCCCAGCATTAGGCCCTTCTCCAGTGAGTCCTTCCTTCTCATTAGGTGGCCAAAGTATTTGAGTTTCAGCTTCAGGATCTGGCCTTTTAAAGAGCAGTCGGGGTTGATCTCTTCTAGGACTGACCGGTTTGAACGCCTTGCAGTCCAAGGGACTCGCAGGAGTCTTCTCCAGCACCATAGTTCAAAGGCCTCAATTCTTTGTCACTCAGCCTTTCTTATGGTCCAACTTTCACATCCATACATTGCAACTAGGAAAACCATGGCCTTGACTATACGCACTTTTGTTGGCAGGGTGATGTCTCTGCTTTTTAGTATGCTGTCTAGATTTGCCATAGCTTTCCTCCCCAGGAGCAAGCGTCTTTTAATTTCTTGGCTGCAGTCCCCATCTGAGGTGATCTTGGAGCCCAGGAAAATAAAATCTGTCACTACCTCCATTTCTTCCCCATCTAT